AAAAAGAAAAAGGACACAGGGTGATAAATAGGGGTCATTTTTAGGCTTGCAGAATCTGAGGAGTCTGGGGGTATCATGGACGCCCCCCCAGGAGACAGCCAGAGGCTGAAGACATGGACAAGAAAGACGAAACGATCTTGAAGCCATGGGAGGGACTCAAACAAGTGGGGATGGAAGAATGATCTGGTGACAGTGAGACCTAAGGAGTGGTTGAGGGAAGTGAGCTCAGAAGGGAGAAGGAGTTGGGGCACTTAAGCTTCTGACTTTGGCTTAGGTCACGATCTCACGGCTCGTGAGCTTGAGCCCCGAGTCCCTGTGCTGACAGCTCAGAGCCTGGAGCCTCCTTCAGATTCTGTGTCTCCCTGTCTCTGCTCCTCCCCTGCTTGCACTCTTTCTCTCTCTAAAAAAAAAAAAAAAAAGATATTAAAGAAAATACATGGAAATGTAAAAAACAAACAAACAAAACAAAAACAAAGGAGCAGGGGCAGCCAGGGAGACAGGAGGAGAACCAGGCCGTGTAGCACTAAGGATCTCACGGCAAGATGGAGTCGGGAGGGGTGGATTCCCGGAAGCAGAGCCTGAGGCAGGGATGCAGGTACACGTGCCCTACGGAAGGGGGCGCTCTCAGGAGAGAGGGAAAGAGAAGCAGGATGCGGCAGGGAGCAAAGGAGGCTGAAGTAGCCTCAGTCTGGACTCAGGGAGCTCTGGAGCGACTAGCACCACAGAGCCCATCCCACCTTGTGACAGGAGGGCCCCCTCGTACACCCCAAATCAGCCAGTCACTGGCTGAGGCCCGCCCCCAGGGACCTCCCAAGTGAAGAGGTCCCCACTTCAGCTGTTAGGAGTCACCACTCAGTAGTTGGGAGACGGGCTCACCGGCCCAATAAAGGAGACCTGGGCTAGCGCCCACGGCATCCACTAGAGATGTTGACGTGAAAACGGTGCCTAGTGCCCCCTGGATTCATGGCTGGGGGGGGCACTGGTGGCCTGGGGGGGCGGGGTGAGGTGGGATGCCAGACTGGGGGCCCAGCATGGCGAGTGGAGACGGGTCTTCTTTGGAGTGCGGGGGGGGGGCGCGGCCGGGCCTGGCTTGCAGCTGGTTGACCCCGCCGGTGCTGCCGTTGTGTCCCCGAAGCTCTGTGGTGATGCTGGAGATCGACAACCGGCTGTGCCTGCAGTCGCCCGAGAATGACCACTGCTTCCCCGACGCCCAGAGTGCGGCCGACTACCTGGGAGCCCTGTCGGCGGTGGAGCGCCTTGACTTCCCATACCCGCTGCGGGCCGTGCGAGGCGAGGCCCGGCCTGGTGGGGGGCGCTGCGGGGCAGGGGGTGGGGCCCCCCTACGGCCTGGGGCTGAAGCAGCTTCCCACCCCCTGCAGGAGAGCCCCTGGAGCTGCCGGAGCCCAGCGTGCCTCTGCTTCCGCTGCTGGCCGCCAGCGCCGTCTTCCTGCTGGTCATCCTGGTGCTGGGCGTCATGGTGGCCCGGCGCAAGCGGGAGCACAGCACCCTCTGGTTCCCCGAGGGCTTCGCGCTTCACAAGGATGTGGCTGCGGGTCACAAGGGCCGGCGGGAGCCCGTGGGCCAGGACGCGCTGGGCATGAAGTAAGGGCCCCGCCCACTCCCCCCCCCCCAGCGTGTGGGGGGGAGGGCTCGGGTGGCCCTCCCACTCCCCCCCAGCCTGTGGGGGGGAGGGCTTGGGCAACCCGCCCACTCCCCCCCCAGCCTGTGTGGAGGAGAGCTTGGGTGGACCCCCCACTCCCCCCCCCAGCCTGTGTGGAGGAGGGCTTGGGTGCCCTTGAGTCCACTTTGACCTGCCTTCTCATTCCCCACCAGACCCTAACTTCAGACTCCAGCCCAGACCCCAGTACCATCCCCTTGACCGGTGACTGACTCCATGATCCCCGGGGATCACCCCTGATTTGTGACCCCCTGACCCCGTGTTCTGTATCTCCGTTCCCCTGACTCGGATCCTACTCTGACCCCACCCTGACCCCACCCTGATCCTGGCCTCTCCAATTCCACCAGGATACTCATTTGTTGCCACATGACTGCTGGCCTCATGGTCCTTGTCTGCACCCCGACTCCTCACTGACCCCTGACCCTATCGTCTGTGACCCCGGAAATACCACCTCTGACTCTAACCCACCCTGACCTTTGACCCCACCTCTGACCTTCTTTCCACCCCAACTCAGTGTTCATTCTCCGTGATCCTCAACCCTGGCCTTTGCCCGGGGCCTTGCCTCCAACTCCCTTATCTGTCCCTCAGGACCCCCCCAACCCCACCCTGACCTAGCCCCAGACTTTTGCCCTCTCCTGTGTCCCCATGAGCTCCTGACTTCTCAGTACAACCTGCTTTATCCTGGCTGCGGATCCTACCTGCGGGTCCACCCTCATGACTCCTGATGGTCTCCTTTGCATTCCCTGCTACGTGCCTGGGACCCTCAGCTGTCCCACAGCCCGCTCCTCTGACCTGTGTCTATCCCCTCCTGTGACCTTGACTTCGTCCTGCAGCCTCTTTTTGGACTCTGTATCTTGGACCCCGGAACCCAACCCCAGCTGGCCTCTGGGGGCTCTTTTCTGATCCCCAAATCCTACTTCCCGGTTGCACATCTCCATTGTCTCTTCTTCCCTTCCCCCTTCCCATTGTCGCCACAGGAACATGGCCAAGAGCGAGAGTCTCATGGGGCAGGTGGCCACAGACTGGATGGATACGGAGTGCCCAGAAGCAAAGCGACTGAAGGTTGTGTCCTTTCTCTGACCCCTGCCCTCGGGGTCCTGGGTGGAGGGCCTGACGGTCTGTGGGAGAGTCGGGTGAGATTTCCGCTCTGCCTGGTTCTGGGGAGCAGTTGTGGTACCCGCCTCATCCTGCCCGTCTCTAACCAGGCCCCTGCTCCCAGGCCCACGTGGGGCCTTCCTGGAGCGGAGCCCCTGACCTCGACAGCCACTCTGCCTTCTGTCTGTTAGGCTCAACTTTGTCCAGCGTGCCCAGTCTGAAAGTGCTCCGAGCTGGTTTTAAACACCACTCTGCTGGGGCCACGCCGTGAGCCCTGTCGTGGTCGGCTTACACTGCCATTACAAAATCCCACAGACTCGGGGGCTTATACAACACATACTTCCTCTCGCACGGTTCTGCGGGCCGGAAGCCGGGGATCAAGGCGCTGGGCGGGTTGAGTGTTGGCGAGGGCTCTCTTCCGGGCTTGCAGACAGCCGCCTCCTCCGTGTGCATGGAGGGGAGAGCTCTGGTGTTTCTTCTTTTTCTTACAAGGATCTCAGTCCTGTTGGCTTAGGACCCCACCCTTATGACCTTGTTTAACCTTGACTATCTCCTTAAAGGTCTTCTGTGCAGGTTGTGTTGTTTGGTGGAGGTTAGATCTTTGATATACGACTTTTGAGGGACAACTGTTCAGTCCGACACATTCCTGCTAACTTTCTCTTAGACTCGCCAATGCCTTGAACGCTTGCGAGCATCCCATTTCCTCTTTATGAGGACCGTGTGGAGCAGCTGTTGATACACACCTCAATTCTCAGCTGCCTTTGCCCGCCCAGATTTTAATGTTTGTGAAATGGAGAGACATCTATTACAATTGACAGCTGAAAGAAATCTGTTCACCTCGGGCTTTTCTTTTTCTTTCGTATCCCACAGTGGGTATTAAGTAGATAGTGTAATAGGGTTTTGTTTTTTTTTAAGTTTATTTATTTTTGAGGGAGAGAGAAAGAGTGCAATTGTGGGGGGTAGAGGGAGAGACAGAGGGAGACACAGAATCTGAAGCAGGCTCCAGGCTCTGAGTTGGCAGCACAGAGCCCGACGCGGGGCTCGAACCCACGAACCGTGAGATCGTGACCTGAGCTGAAGTCGGACGCTTAACTGACTGAGCTGCCCAGGCGTCCCATGCAATAAGTTGTTGATGGCATTTTGGCATTGCAGAATGCCAGCATTATCCTGATTTTGCTCATGAGAAGCTCAGAGCTCTAATGTGATCTGCCAGGTGATGGACAGCTAACCCGAAAGAGTCAGGGAGGCTGGGACAGCTGTCTTATCACCTGGCTCTCCCCTTTCATGAAATTCAACTCTCCACCTGGGTCCTTAAGCTCAGGTCTGGCTTGATCAGGCTGTCTTTGGTGCCCAAAGGCTCTTAAATGTCCTGGCAGCTAGTTACGAATATTCTGTCCTGAGGGACACCTGGGGGGCTCAGTTGGTTAAGTGTCCAACTCTTGATTTCAGCCAGGTCATGATCTTGAGGTCCTGAGATCCAGCCCCACATGGGGCTCAGTCTGGAGTGTGGAGACTGCTTGGAATCTCCCTCCCCCACTTATGCGCACTCCCTCTCTCTCTCTCTTTCAAAATAAATATACTGGGGGCGCCTGAGTGGCTCAGTAAGTTGAAGGTCCGACTTCAGCTCAGGTCATGATCTCACAGCTCGTGGGTTCAAGTCCCACATCAGGCTCTGTGCTGACAGCTCGGAGCCTGGAGCCTGCTTTGGATTCTGTGTCTCCCTCTCTGTCCCTCCACTATTCATTGTGTCACCATCTCTCTCTACGCCCCTCCCCACCCCTGCTCACACTCTGTCTGTGTCTCTCAAAAGTAAATAAACATTAAAATAATAAATAAATAAATATACTGAAGAAGAAAAAAAAATTTTTTTAAGAGAATATTCTGTCCTGGAAAAAAAAAGAATAATCTGCTCTGTTTCCATAACATCACTATGCCTTTTGGACCATGAGTCTGCAGTTAGTTTCTCAAGCTCATTCTAGGGTCCGAGGTGCTGTGCTGGGGAAGGTAAATGGATACATTTGTGTATGACTGTTCTGTCCTGATACTTCATGTTCATGTTCACAGTACTGGGTAGGAGTCCGAAATGGTATCCAGGGCACCTCCCTGCTCCTCACTTTCCCCCCTACCCATTCGCCCTCTTCTCACATTAAAATTGATCCTTGAAGAACTACCCCCCCACCCCCGTATTTTTTTAGTTCCCAGAATACAAATTTTGCATTTCCTCTATTGAATTTAATTCTAAATGTTTTATTCTTTTTGGTGCTGTTGTCATGGAACTGTTCTCTTCATTTTATTTTCAGTGTGTTCATGTCCAGGGTACAGGCGGGTATGGACCGACAGGGGCTATGCTCTGTGTCTTTTCCTTGATCACTCACTTTGTTTTGTTTTAATTTTTATTTATTTTTTTTTATTTCTGAGAGAGAGAGAGAGACAGTGTGAGCAGGGGAGGGGCAGAGAGAGAGGGAGACACAGAATCTGAAGCAGCTCCAGGCTCTGAGCTGTCAGCCCAGAGCCCGATGCAGGGCTCGAACCCACGAACTGCGAGATCATGACCTGAGCCGAAGTCGGGCGCCCCTTTGATCACCCACCTTGGATTCCCAGCCCTCCCCTCTTCCAACCCAGATTAAGATCCCACTTCTTCCTTTTGTGGGTTCTCTGAGCTGCGGCAGGTCAGTTTCCCATTTCTGGATGTGTAAAAGAAGCGGGACGTTCCGGTCTCTCAGGGCCGTGTGTGCATCTCCCTGAGGGAAAGCTGTGAGGATGCCCAGACCGTCCCCGTAAGTGTCCCTCTCCCAGCTCTTTGTGATGGCCTTGGTCCTTGCGCCTCCAGGTAGAGGATGCTGGCGCGGGGGCCGAGGATGCCGTGGACTGCCGCCAGTGGACGCAACACCACCTGGTTGCCGCGGACATCCGTGTGGCACCAGCCATGGCCTTGACGCCCCCACAGGGCGACGTGGATGCCGACGGCATGGACGTCAATGTGCGTGGCCCAGGTCAGTGATGCCAAGGATGCGCCTCACCTTTCCCACTTGGCAAAAGGTGCACCTGGGTCTGTGTTCTGGGCAGAGTTGGGTCTGTCTGTGGGGGGGGGGGGGGGGTGTGTCCATCAGGACTCTGGGTTGTAAGTGATAATAGCCCAACTCAAACGAGTTGAAGTAAAACGAGAGATTTATTGGCCCTTGTAACCAGAAGCATCTGGATGTTTGGGTCCAGGACTCAGCACCTCACAGCTCCAGCCGGGGGCCTCCAGCTTTCTTCTGGGGGCACGATAGCCACAGGCCTGACCAGCCTTGTAAAATCTTTATTACCAGGGCGCCTGGGTGGCTCAGTTGATTAAGCATCCGACTCTTGGTTTCAGCTCAGGTCATGGTCTCCCAGTTTGTGGGTTCAAGCCCCACACCGGCCTCTGTGCTGACAGCATGGAGCCTGCTTGGGATTCTCTTTGTCTCTTTACTCTCTCCTCTCTTTCTCTCTCTTCCCCACCCCCCAACTCCCCCATGCTCGTACTCTCTCAAAATAAATAAATAAACATTTTAAAAAAGCAAAACCTTTATTACCAGTTACACCAGCAAAAATCCCAGGATGTGTTCTGATTGGATGGGCTAGAGTCACGTGCCCACCCGTGAGCTAATCATTGTATCCTGGGGGCTGGAATATGCAGACTGACTGCAGGCCTGGGCCTAATGCCTCTCCTTGAGCCAAGGATTGGGTTCAGCTCTACCCAGCGCTTGAGGATGGAGAGTGGGGTGCGTGTGGCTCCCTAAGGGAAACAAGGGCGAATGCTCATGCAGAGTGTAGCAGGTCACGGTGTTTGGATTCCCTTGGACTTCAGAGTATTCCTCCTCAGCTCATTTTGCTTTCATTCAAAAATGACTGGCACCGATGGCTCTCTGTTGAAATTCCTCAGGCTACCAGGGCCTGAGGTGCCTAGGATTTTATGTCTCTGGGGTGCTTCTTTTTTTAGAAAAATTATTTGTTTATTTTTGGGGCACCTGGGTGGCTCAGTCGGTTGAGCGTCTGGCTTCGGCTCAGGTCATGATCTCACGGTTCGTGGGTTCGAGCCCCACATCGGGCTCTGTGCTGACAGCTTAGCTCAGAGCCTGGAGCCTGCTTCGGATTCTGCGTCTCCCTCTCTCTCTGACCCTCCCCTGCTCACGCTGTCTCTCTCTCTCTCTCTCAAAAATAAACTAAAAAATTTTTAAAAAATTAAAAAAAAATTATTTGTTTATTTTTGAGAGACAGAGAGAGGGAGGGAGACAGAGAATCCCATGCAGGCTCCGCGCTGTCAGCACAGAGCCTTGATGTGGGGCTCGAACTCACGAACCGTGAAATCATGACCTGAGTGAGCCGAAATCAAGAGTTGGATGCTTAACCAACTGAGCCACCCAGGCGCCCCCTGGGGTGGTTTTTAACCAGCAGGTGTGGGGGTGTGTGAAAGGCACAGCTCAGCCTCCTGCGTCCCCCTTCAGGACCAGGCTGACGTAACCCCCTGGGAATTTGCCTGAGGTTGAACCCTCACTTCTTCCTCCCCCCCTTGTCCTCTATCTGCCTTCGGACCCTTTGTGTGACAAACCACCTGCCCGTGAATCCTTATCCTGGCTTGGCTTCTGGGGTACCTGACACAGGTGTGTGTGTGTGTGTGTGTGTGTGTGTGTGTGTACGCACGTGCACTCCTGGGAGGACTTGCCACTCCCTCATGTGACCCTGTGTCCCACTTCCTGCTAATGCAGTGCCCTCAATAGTATCGCCTGGAAAGGCCTCCTGTGCCCGCCTCCCTGTGACATGTTCCTGGTCCTTGCAGACGGCTTCACCCCTCTGATGCTGGCCTCCTTCTGTGGGGGGGCTCTGGAGCCCGTGCCCACCGAAGAGGACGAGGCGGAAGACACGTCAGCCAGCATCATCTCGGACTTGATCTGCCAGGGAGCCCAGCTTGGGGCACGGACGGACCGCACGGGCGAGACGGCCCTGCACCTGGCTGCCCGCTACGCCCGGGCCGATGCGGCCAAGCGGCTGCTGGATGCTGGGGCGGACACCAATGCCCAGGACCATTCAGGCCGCACTCCTCTGCACACTGCTGTCACCGCTGATGCCCAGGGCGTCTTCCAGGTGACATGGACCTGCCCCTTTGGACTTTGGAGCTTGGCACAGGCATCAGGCAGGCCTGGGTTTGAGCCCTGGTCCTGCGAAATAGAGCTTGTGTTAACTGGGGATATGTGGGAGTATGGTGTCTGGCAGGTGCCTGCTTCCTGAGTCCAGGGGATGTGGGGGGGTTGGGGACCTCAGAGGGCTTAGAGGTGCACCTGGTCCTTCAGTTTCTGTCATGACCTCCCCCGCTCCGCACACCTTCTCCTCTAGATTCTCATCCGGAACCGATCCACAGACCTGGATGCCCGCATGGCGGATGGCTCAACAGCACTAATCCTGGCAGCCCGCCTGGCGGTGGAGGGCATGGTGGAAGAGCTCATTGCCAGCCATGCCGATGTCAATGCGGTGGATGAGCTTGGTAAGCTGCGGGGGTGGCAGTGGGTGGAGGCTGAGAAGGGGGCACCAGGGCCCGGCTTGTAGGTGTTAACTCACACCCACGCTGAGAGCCAAGCACTGAAGTTCATACATATGTAACAGAGTTTTGACGTGGACTTACATTTACTTGTGTGTGTGTGTGTGTGTGTGTGTGTGTGTGTGTGTGGCATCTGGTAGCTCATATGACACCGTGACCTAGGAAAAGGTGCCCTTCCGGAATACACTTCATTTCCGTTTGCTTTATTAGAAGAGCGTACTCTGCTGCCTTCTGCTGGTCGGCTGGTATAGTACATTTGCAAACTGGCCAAATCCCTTTGTGACGGCAAATACCTCTGTGGTGGTGGCTTGCTTGCACGATCCCGAGCTGTGCAGTCACAGCAACTTGTCCTCATGTCCAGAGGACCTCACATCGCTGCAGACATACTCAGGTGCTCATAAACATCCTTTGGAGCAAGTGTTCTCAACCTCTGCACCATTTACACTTGGGGTTGGATGATTCTTAGTGCTGAGGGCTGTCCTTGCAATGTAGGATACATTTTTTTAACTTTAAAAAAATTTTTAATGTTTATTTATTATTGAGAGACAGAGCATGAGCAGGGGAGGGGAAGAGAGAGGGGGAGACACAGAATCTGAAGCAGGCTCCAGGCTCCAAGCTGTTAGCACAGAGCCCGACGCGGGGCTCGAACCCACGGACCGTGAGATCATGACCTGATCCAAAGTCGGACGCTTAACCGACTGAGCCACCCAGGCGCCCCTGCAATGTAGGATATTAAACAGCTTCCCTGGCCTTGACCCACCAGATGCCAGCAGCACCCCACTCCCCAGCTGTGACAACCAAAAATGTCCCCAGACATTGGCAAATGCCCCTGGGTCGAGGGGTCACCTCTGCTTGAGAACTGTGGCTCTAGAGAACCACTGACCAACAGAACTTTCTGTGTTGGTGGAAACATTCTTGGTCTGTGATGTCTCGTGTGGTGGCCACTGGCCACATGTGGTTGCTTTTGAGCACTTGAAGTGTGGCCAGGGCGAACAAAGAGCTAAATGTTTTATTTCGTTTCATTTTTTAACCTTTGTTTTGCATGCTTTCTTTAAAAGGCCTTTTTTAGGTATAATTCACACACTGTACAATTCAGCCATTTAAAGGATAAAATCCAATGGCTTTTTGTACAATCACACAGTTGTACAACTCGTCGTAGTAAATTTTAGAACACTTTCACCACGTGGAAGAGAGGCCCTCACCATTAGCTGACACCCTCCAATCTCCTTATCTTCCCAGCCTGAGGCAACCACTTAAAAATGTGGTTTCTCTATAGGTTCTCTACTCTGAATGTTCACTGTCAATGACATCAAACAATATGTGGTCTTTTTCTGACTGGCTTCTTTCGCTCAGCATAATGCTTTTCAGGTTCACAACATTTTGTGAGGAGTATGAGTGCTTTTAATTTGTTTTTAATTTTTTAATCAAATAACATTCCCTTGTATGCATATTGTTCTTTATCCATTGACAGACACTGGGGTTGTTTCTACCTTTTGGCTCCTGCAAACATTCACGTACAGGGTTTTGTGTAGATGTATGTTTTCATTTCTCTTGGGCACAGAACGAGGAGCGGAATTGCTGAGTCATATGGTAATTCAGTGTTTAACCTTGTGAGGAGCCCCATTTTCCATTTCCGCCAGCTGTGTGTGAGGGTTCCAGTTTCTCTATGTCCTCGCAGATAGTTGTTATGATCTGTCTTTTGTTGTAGCTTTCCTAGTAGGCGTGAATTGCGATTTCCTTGTGGTCTTGATATTTATTTCCCTGGTGGCTAATGATGCTGAGCATAGTTCCATGTGCTTATTGGCCATGTGTATATCTTCTTTGGAAAAATGTCTATTCTGATCTTTTGCCCATTTTTTAAAAAGTTAACTTATTTGAGAGAGAGAGAGAACACGTGGAGGAGTGGGGGAGGGACAGAGAAAGAGAGGGAGAGAGAGGATCCCAAACAGGCTTCATGCTCAGGATGGAGCTCAACACAAGGCTCAATTCCACAATGGTGAGATCATGACCTGAGCCAAAATCAAGAGTCAGATGCCCAAATGACTAAGCCGCTCAGGAATCCCTGCCCATTTTTTAAATTGAATTAAATTAAATTAAATTTATTTTTTAAATTTTATTTTTATTTTATTTTATTTATTTTTTAAATTTTTATTTATTTTTGAGAGACAGAGAGAGACAGAGCACAAGCAGGGGAAGGGCAGAGGGAGAGAGGGAGACACAGAAACCAAAGCAGGGTCCAGGCTCTGAGCTTTCAGCACAGAGCCCGACGCAGGGCTCAAACTCATGACCCGAGTCGAAGTTGGGTGCTTAACTGACGGAGCCACCCAGGCCCCCCTCCCTGCCTGTTTTTTTTTTTTTTTAATTTTTTTTTTTTTTTATGTTTTATTTATTTCTAGGAGAGAGAGAGAGACAGCGTGAGCAGGGGAGGGGCAGAGAGAGAGGGAGTCACAGACTGAAACA